CAATTAGGCTATCATGCTGTATATATTATTTTACCACGGCTTCCTTCGCTATTACTTGAATTCGTAAATATCGATACACCGTATAGTGTCTAATTACGTTATCATACTGTATATATTATTTTCTCCACAACCTCCTTCGCCATTACTTGAATCATCAATATCGTCACAGTTATTAATTACTAGTATCATATCTTATTAGGCTATTGTACTATATATGCTATTTCTGCTCAATTTCCTTCACTATTACTTAAATCATCAATATCGTCACGCAGTATCATCTCCGATTAAGTTAACATACCGGTACTATATAGATAACTTTCTCTACAAATTCTTTCGATATTACTTGAATCATCAATATCGCCACGCTTATTTTATTCGTTAGTATCATCTCCAGTTAGGCTATCATACTATATAAATTATTTTTTCCATAAATTCCTTCTCTTTAACCATAAATATATTACTTTCTTCGCTATTACTTATGACATTAATATTGCCACGTAGTATCATCTTCGATTAAGTTTTTATATTGAATATACTAATTTCTCCTTAATTTCCTTCGCGATTTCTTAAATCATTCATATTATCACGCAGTATCACCTCCAATTAGTTTATCATACTTGTAGTGTATTTAGAGTATACTGTAACTATATTCTACTCTTAAATATAGACATGTTGCATTGCTCTTATATTTAAACATCTTCAGTCCGCTTACTTCACATTCATATATAGGCTACTGTATTTAGTTATCACGGTACTCGCCGTTTGCTATAATCATCAGCTATGTTGTAACCTGTTATGGTATATGTAGTATCTAATTCTACAATCCTATTCTCTGCATATGCTCTATCTTTAAACTATAAATACCGCCGTTTTCCACCTCAGAAATCGTTAGTTTCCTGGTTAATTTTCACACGTTACGCACGACAGCTTGCACGCAGGTCTACCGTAACCACCTCACTATGCTTACTTTACTACTTAAAATAAAGTATAACTTTTATACAACTTTTGGTGTACTAATTGTAAATGGCAACTATATCTCAATCCTCCGAGATATCGAAGCCTCCATCACAATACTATACCTGTATATATTGTTTTCTTCACAACTTTCTTCACTATTACTTAGACAATAATATAGCCATACAGTATCATCTCCGATTAGGTTATCAAACTATATATATTATGTTTTCCACAACTTCCTTCGCTACTACTTAGATTATCAATATCGCCATGTAGTATCATCTACGATAAGGTTATCGTACTATATATTATTTCCTCCACAATTTTCTTCGTAATTACTTAAATTATTAATATCGTCACGCTTATTAATCGCTAGTATTATCTCTGATTAAGTTATCATACTAAATACATTATTTTCTCCACAACTTTCTTCGCTATTACTTAGATATATACCAATTACGAGATTCCAAATTTTAGAAAAATAAGGGCTTTATTCAATCTTATACAAAGATTAACTACACATAGCTCTACTCTAGCCGAATACTACTACTAAAGACTTCTACAACGAACTAACAGAATAATCTAAAGTTGCATGCTTTTATACTTTTCGTAGCATTCGCAGCTGCAATCCGCATAGCAACCTTTTACCTTATATTACACATAGTTAAATTATTCTTAGTAAGACTATTCTAATGCGGACCATCATTAATCCAATATGGATACGACTACAGTACTTACGTAGACATCATTCACACCAGCCAAAGTACAATGAATTAACCATATCCTAATATATGATTTACAGTTCTATTTTTACCTATAGCCTTATTAGTAACTCAACAGCTTACTGTACATAGTCATCTGTACTCTAACATAGAGTCTCTACCACTACAGTCTATAGTTATAGCTACCAAATATCTCTTAGGATAAATATCTACCGTACATTATACTAAACATGGCTAACTGTCTACAATCACAATACTAAGTTACATTACATTAGATCATCAATATCTTTTCGCTTATTAATCGCTAGTACTATGTCCGATTAGGTTATCATTCTATATTCGTATAAATGATTCTCTCTATAACTTACTTCATTACTTAAATTATAAATATTGTCACGCTTATTAATCAATAGCATTTATCTCTGATTAGGTTATCATACTAAATGCATTATTTTCTCCACAACTTCTTTCGCTATTACTTAAATCATCAATATCGCTACGCTAATTAATCGCTAGTATTATCTCCGATTAGGTTATCATATTATATAAATTATTTTCTTCATAATTTCCTTCATTACTTTTATTATAATTAATATTATCATGCTTATAAATCACTAGTACAGCATCATCTCTGATAAGGTTATCATACTAAATATATTATTTTCTCCACAACTTCCTTCGTTATTAAATCGTCAAATATCGTCGCGTTTTATTAATCGTTAGTATCTCCGATTAGCTTATCACACTATCTATATATAACATATGTTATATACTATTTTCCCCACAAATTCCTTAGTTATTACTTAAATCGTCAGTATCATCATGCCTATTAATCGCTAGTATCTTCTCTAGTTAAGTTATCGCCTTTATTTGCTTATCAGAATTTGAAATTTTTTTAAGAGAAAAACAGCTTTCTTTTATTTCAACTCGTAACCCTAGCAAAGCCATGCACTGCTTCTGCTACCTTATTTACAACTAGACTTTCGGCTTATGGAAGTTGATAC